AAAGCCATAGCCCCTAACCCAGGTGAAGGCAGAGGACCAATCCATCCCAAATCTCTGTTACAACCAGCCAGCCAGAGACCTTACCAACCGAGCCAATTGGCACTTCCCATTTGGTTGAATGTTGGTTTGGGTTGAGTGTATTTAAAACAGGGCTTTGTTGGGGTTAATCTCAACCGACCAAACTACTTGCGTTGGATGGAGGCTATAAGGAGGAGTCTTTCTCCTGACTCTAATGCCATAAACGTGTTGCATATTCAATGAGTATCGTGATCGTAATTAAGTTGGCCCCTGCATGGTAATTAATGTTTCCATCATTAATTGTCCACTATACACCGTTTCTTTAAATTAGAAGATTGCAAGAAACAGGTAGGTCATTATGTGTAGTATTGAGTCTATTGACGAAAGGGTTGGCCTGCAAGATGCAATGGCAGGTCCCGACTCCTCTTTTGTATGTGTTTTTGTGGCACAAAAATAGCTTCCTTCTGTCATTATTGATGTGAATAGTTGTGATTTTGTGTCCCCTCTTCTGCTTTTGTAATCTGATATGGGATTTATAGGTTATTTCAAGTTATGAATATGTTTTATCTGTCTTTTTGCAACTGGGAATGATGTGAACGAATGAAGGAGCCTGGTTTCTTTAACTAGAAAGCACTCGATGAGATGGGCCAGCGAATAGATGAGCTGGAACAGAGCATCAACGAGCTACGAAATGAGATGGGAACAGAGGGCTCTACTTCTCCCTTGGCCCCTTCCAAGCCAAAGCCAGAAGAGGCCAAATCATCAGATGGTTCAGCATGATTCTAGGATCGTAGTTGTTGTGAATCCAAATGTCGGAGCCCAGCCCCACTACTTTGTGCTCTACAGATCTTAAAGAATTAAATTTGTCTACTTTCTTTTTTCTTTGTTGTTAACGGATGCTGAAAATTTAGAACTGCTAATTATTGTGTTTCATGAGTTTGTGACATAAAGCTTTTCTTTTTCATTTTCAATTTCTGTGACATGAGAGAGAGAGAGAGAGAGAGAGAATCATATGCTGTATTTGTTTTTTCATAGGCGTTGTGGTGTGTGGTTGGTCTGATTCTTGGATTGAAGTGTAGTGGGGGAACGTTGCATGTGGCGATGGGCCTTGCAGCTAATAAAAGTAGAACATCCACTTTGCTTGGGCGAGGGATCTGAGTGAAATTGAATATATGCGCGATAGCCGAAAGTGGAGAAAAGCGTAGGGTATCCTTGCTCAACTTGCAACCTCCGACTCCATCATGCAGATGCAGATGGAACTTGGTGTACTTGGGAACGGAAAAAGGCCCCAGCCCCATGTTCAGCGGTTGGGAAATGTCGGTTAGACCGATGGTTGGGAGTTGGGAGCTACGTCCTGGTGTGTGTGTGTGTGTCCTACTACTAGTCTATCACCAATAACCATTACGTGCATTGTTTCAGAATTCTCAGATGCCCCTAAAGCTGCCTGCACTGCTGTCTGTCCCCACGTCTGCATGTGCAGTGGTGTTGCCCTGTAAAGACTTCATGGGATGGGATGGCAGTCAAATGGCCATGCAGCTGGCCGTGGTTGCTCAAAAATGACACTCCACCCTGGTCGCTGGTCGCTGGTCGGGGTAATGATTATTCAAATCACCCAGGCGCTAGCACTCCTAGGCTTCCTCATTAAGGGCCCGTTTGCCTCATGGGAATAGGGTCTGGAATCTCATTCTCATCTCTGGTGGAAGAATGGCATGCATTCGGAATTTTAACCATATGAGTTAGAATCTAAAATTCATTTTCATCTCTAATTCTCATTCCAGCTTTTAAGCTATGGGAATAGCTCAATTCAATTTCTAAGGATTTTAAGTTACAATTGTAAATCAAACAGGCCATAACAGTTTGCACTTTGCAAGATCATTTTGGGTTGGCTGGCAATTATATATAGGAAACATAGGTGGAGACTGGGGAGCCACTGCCCACCACAGCTGGCTTTGATTTGATTATGGAGTCTGTAACGTAATACCTCCATTATTATCATTCATCAACCCCACCACCACCAATGCACAACAATGTTTTAAGCCCCCTGCTCTACACGCTCCGCCTTAATAATCATGCCATCCTCGTGAAAGCCTTCACTTGCCACAGATTTCAACCGTTGATTCTTGAGCGCAATTTTGTGATTTGAATTCTAAACGGTTGGCCCACTGCCCACCCTTCATCACCACCATCCAATTTTCAAGCACATTACCCATAACAAAAACAAAAAGTGTTTGTTTGTATCAAAAACTCTTCTTTCATTTCTTTATCTCTACTGCACAGGATCCAAACTCAAAAGTCGCTTCTTCATCTCTCTTCATCACATACCATTTGTTTGAAAATATCTTTACCAATTTTCTTTTCGAAAGACGAATTTGTGGCGTGAATGCGTCCTTCTGGTCATGATTTTTCAAAAGTCATTTTACTTGAGACGGAAGAAATCTGCCTTTTTCTCCTGCTGCCTTCCTATTCCTTTCTTCACAAAACCTTTCTACCTTGATACTTTGGAAAAGGAAAGATGGGTATTTCATATTTGACAACAACAATTCCAATTTCAAACTCGATCACATAAAGTTAGGGTTCCAAAAAGAAAATACTAGTTACAGCGCGATCAGTAAAAGTCCAGAACCAAAGGAAATGACATTAATAGACCAAAACAGAGCACAGCTTCATCTGAAAAGCCGAATAAAGAATGAGTACGGAAGGAGACCAACCAGAGAGAGAGAGCTTGGTCGTTATTGAATTGATCTCTGTTTTTTCAACCGTTTGATATGCGTTTTACGAGTTCCAATGACCCATAAATTCCTTTACCAACCAGAGCAAAAGCAACCCAGAATTAAAAAAAAAAAAAAGGAAAAGAAACAGAAGAAGAAATATCAAATACCCAGGAGATAAGAGATGAATCAAATATATATAAGTAAATAATAATTGTGAAGAAAAAAAAAGGAAAGAATTGTTTACACACAAACAGTCAATTATGATTATAGAAAGATCCCATGTAAATTCAAACAACGACCGACACCAGCTTCCTCCTCACCCACCATGTATACCGCATATTCCCAAGTAAATCCCAGGAAAGAAAAGAAGAGGAATAAATCAGAAAAAGAAAGAACTAACGCCGGCATCGGGTAATGGCGCTGCAACCGCGGTTGTAAGGATTGGCTTGAGCTCCGGGCTTGCAATTGTAGTAAGATGCGCCGCGTCGGGAGCAGGGTACAGTGTTTCGCTGCAGAGCTCCGTAGCTTATGTACTGGTTGGTCGCTAGAATGCGCCGGCTGATCTCGGAGTCCATCCCGAATTCGTCGTCGGCGTCCATGCATTCCCCCATCGAGCCCTGGCAGGTTGATATCGTCGGCAGCCAACCCAATTGGTGCTCTCCACTGGCATCAACGGCGGAGGACGATATAATCACAGCCGTGACGAAGACGCCGATTATCAAAAGAAACCCATGAGAAATCGCCATTATCGTCGTCGTGAATCAGCTCAGCTCGCTCTTTTTTTTCTTCCCTTCTCTCTTTCTCTCTCTCTCTAGCTTTTCTTGTCTTCTCTCTCCTTCACCGGCGCAGTGACAAGATGCAGGGTAGGCAGGGTCATGTGTTATAACATGGGTCCATGAAACAATTTGACACTGATTTCATGGATTATTTACGAAAATGGCACTTGGTGTTCCATCATTCCAAGGTCTACACTGTTATTTATTATTTTATTTATTTCAGCGTTGTTCTCGAAGAAAGAAACGCAGATAACTGTGAATTTTGATTGGTGGGTCCTGCTTCGAGATTAACAACTAAACGCTGCCTCTTAAATGGGCCTAGATTTATGGATCAACGTAGATAAAATATTATCTTTTTATCCCAAAATAGAGTTTTTTTTTAGGATAAATTACAAAAATTCCTGAATTTTATTTGCTACGACCCTTGAACTTTCAATTTGCAAAAGTATCCTGAGTCAAGTGAGGTAATGCATTAAATTGCCAAGATGTTTACTTAATTCTTTCTTATTTACTTTTTTGCCCTTTTCTCTTAAATCTTAATTAATAAAAAATACCTCCATTTTCTTAAAAAGAAATCAACTAAAATAACAAGAATCATTTAAGTAGTATAAAAAAGCTTTTTTTTTTTTTTTTAATCTTGATTCATTTCACCTGCTGCATTCACATAAATATCTATCTTCATCTTAAAATATAAAAATTATCCTCATTTATCCAATGAATCAAGAAAAACCAAAGAAACCATAAATTTATATCTATTAAAGGGAAACCTCTACCATTTCAATTTGAAGATTGAATCTAATTAGAAATCTACAAAGATCTATTGGAGCAACTAAGAGAACTTTAATGTTATATTTAGAAAATTAATGAAATTATAAATCATTCAAATGAATAAGTATGTATTTGGTATAACTTCCGTTTATTTATTAAACGTTTGTAATTGATTTGTTTTCAAAATCGAAAAAAACAATAATGAAATAATTTATTAACAATTAAGCATCATTAGGCACCACATCAACAAAACAATGAATAAACGCTTACCCACCGGAGATAAACACCCGTGATTCTAAACACCGCCTAAAAAGGGTAATTTAAAGAATATCGAAATTAACAGATAAAACTCTAATAAAGGGAGCATTTGTTGCAATGTGAAAATTCAAGAATGTCTTTGTTGTAAATAAAAGTTAAGGGTGTTTGTCACTAACGCCATAGGTCTTTGTAATTTACACTTTTTAATTATTTTAAGATTCAATAAATTAAATGTCAATCTATAATTTAAGGTTAGGCGAAAGGGAGAAAAAAATCCGTCCTAGGGTGGCAGTTTCGTAATAAGAATGAAAAAAATGCGGGTATTAGTTGGTGGACCCAAGAGATGCTTAGTTGACTGTAGATTGGTATTAATTAAAATGTTAGAATAAAGGGGAAAGATAAGGGAAGAAGACGGCATCGATTCTCCTTTTCCCCCAAATCCTTCCAAGAATCAAGAGAGAAACACACGTCTCCTCCCACCTTTCCGTTATCGTTAACACGCTCGCCGTTAGTCTTGAGTTTAACCGTCAATGTTGCTTCTTTGCTCTCGGGTCAGCTTCAAGTCTTCAAGGAGGTGGGGTTCCTGGTTCCTCGTCCATCGCTGCTGTGCAGCTGTAATATGGCTTTTTCTTTCATGATCTATATCCACGTGTCCTAGTGCCCGTTTGGAAAGGCTTTCATTTTCACACAATGGCTTCCACTTCCTTACGGACAGCCTATTAGCTATATTCGGTGAGAATACCGAAGAGCTCAGATTCGCTGTCAATCAGCTAAGAGCTTGTTTGGGATGATTTCTGCGTTGACTGAACCGCTTCCAGAAACTACCGATAATAGCTTCAGCCTTCAGCAGAAAGTCTACTTTCTGGGTTCATGTTCATGTACTTTGTTAAATGCCAAGCCGCTTAGCCGCTTAGCCGCTTTGTGATAGAGGGCTTTCCGCCTTGGCTCATGGCTTTATAGTTTATAAGATAGGCCCCGCATAGAAAGTTATGTTTGGTGAAAACTAAAAAGCCCTGAAAGCCACTATATGCATTCAACCTGCTTAAAAATCGATTTTCCAACGAGGCTAAATGAAAACTCAGGATTCAAAACAATTGGATTCCAGTAAAAAGTGAAAACTAAAAACTCTCACAGTCACAAATGCGACTTCTGGCATTCCCAACTGAGCTTCACTTGAGAACGTTTGGCTGTGTTTGGTAAAAATCAAAGTCAACATGGGCTCTCCTAACATTCAAACCGCTGCTCAAATATGAATCCATTCTGCGAAACACACGGGTGCTTAGCCACCGCGGCTCAGTTATCACAATGCGTTCCAAACGTAGCCCTCCCAAATAGGTAGGGTGCAACTTGAACGGGCCCAGCCTGAAATTTTGCATAAATTGGACTTGGATTTTTGGTTCTCAGACTGGGTTCAGGCTCAAGAAATCGGGATTTTTTTTTTTTTTTTGATCGAGCCCA